GGTGGGGATGAATGCGAAAAGGCCCGGCGGGGGGGTGGCCATGCTGGGCACCTTGTGTGTGGGCTGCCAAGGGAGGGCACTGCCACTCCGGGACCTGCCGGAGCCGGTTCGGGGGCGTTTCGTTCCGAGCGGGGCCACGGAGCGAAACGGCTGCCCGGCCGCTGCTGTCCCCACCAGGCACCGCGTCTGCTGGGGACGGACACCCGCCTCGTCATCCGGGCTGAAAAAGGGAGAGCTCGGAGGGAAAACGGCCCCGAATTGTTCCAAGCTGCTCCGGGAACAAGACGAGGAGCGGGAAGTCACCGTTACACCCTGATTTAAGGCTCTGGGAGCTCCTGTCTCTATTCAGATGCTGCCCTAAGGGGACAATGTCCAGGCCAGTGGATTCCTCGACCTTCCCGTTGTTGCTCCCTGTACTGTTAGTTTTAGGTATAAGACCAAGCAGCCCTTGCAATAAGTTTCCAGAGGAGAGGCCCGAGGTGGTGGCACCTCCCAAGAGGCTCCACGGGCTCGAGGAGGTTGTGGGGCACCGGGGAGGGAAAAGCGACGTCTCCCCCGTACAGCCCACGCAGCTACGAGGCTCCTCTCATCATTTACCGATTTCAGCGACACTTTTAAAGGTTACGGAGCGGAAAATGCAGCAAACGCTGACGCTGGCCCGAGCTGAGCAAGCAGCGGGGGGACAAATCCCACCGCAGCGGCGGCTCCGCACAGAGCCCGAGACGCGCGAGCAAAACGGCAGCATCATCTTTTGAGAGCAAAAAGCACCAAAACCACCAGCTAACGTCCCCAGAAGGAGCAGGCAGCTGGCTGGCTCCTGTTTCCTTTCAAGCATGTAGGGAATTACTAGGCAAATCCACAGCATCCTCCCCAGGAAGCACAGAGGGACACTCTCCCATCAGGAGACGGGACCGCGCTGCCTCCCTGCTCGGGCAGGAGGAGGGGACACGGATGTAGCTAAGGCACCTTCCACTCTCTGGCATCGCCTTCACCTTAACACAGTCCAAACTGACTGCGCTGACCCCACCGTGGCCCGCGGGGGCTGTCATTCCCCTGCCAGAACCGGTGCAATGGTCTGGGGCTCAAATGCTGCCCAGTGGAGACCTCTGCCTTACCCAAGTGCCACCTTTAGTGCACAAACAGTCCTCAAATGTTGATTCTTAAGAGAGAGCTACAGGTTTGATTGCTATGAATCCATCCTATCTAAAACTACCCTTGATTTTCAGCTGTAACATCCAAGGGTGTCTAGAGGCAGGAAAACTCCAGCTGGCAAAGTCCCCCAAAAGCACTTCCTTACCTAGGGACGCGAGAGCGCTGCTGCTGCGGGGTGTCTGCTAAGGACAGGAGGTGACATCCCGCTGCAATAATGTCACCTCAGGGCCTCTTCTTCGGGAGTCTGCCCCCAGCCCGGTCCTCCCTGCTGCTATCCCTGAATCCGCCCCCCGCGCTCCAGGGGAAGGAATTTGCACATTATGGAAAAGTGCAGCTCACAAAAGCAGACGCTTCGCTGCAAGCCGAGCAAAGGGAGCTCTCTAAAGAGGGCCCAGCTGCGAGCGGTCACCTTACCTTCCTCTTCCTCGCCGCGTCCTGCTCGCTCAGGACCAGAACCTCCGATTCCTCATCCCTTGCAGGAGCAGGGATGTCCCAGGGCTCAGGGCCCAGGGAAGACGCTGGTGCCAAGGAGACGCGGGCGCCCTGTCCGGCCGCGGCGCTGGCACGGAGCAGCCCAGTTTTCCTTCTTCCAGGTTGTTCGGGAGCCAGTAAAGCCGCTTGAATGCCGGGGAACTCGGTGTTCCTGCCCAGGCTGGTGACACTTGGCTGCAGGGCAGGGGACGGCTCGCCGGGGCCGCAGCACCCCCTTCCGTCTGGCGCCTTCTTTCGCAGCCGGCTCCGCGCGGGACGTCGCCTTCTTGCTGCCTGCAGCTCGGGAAAACTCGGGAAGCCCAAAGGATTCGGGATTAAAAGCCCAGCAAGCGCCGAGGTGAGGCAGTGCTGCGGGTTCTGCGGGGACAGACGCGCTCTCCAGGGTTGTTTGTGCGCCCTGGCCGTGCCGTGACACGAGCGGGTCCGTCCTCGGAGCGCCGCAGCCCTTTGCCAGGCTTTTCCCTCCCAGTTTTCCTGGTTTCCTGCTGAGCAGCGTCGCATTCTCCTCCGCGACTCCCCCCTTGCCACACACACAATTACTGCCTATTTTGGTGCCTTATCATGAGATGCTTCAGAGCTGATTAGCCCGGACTTCCTTCCTCCCATCATCAAGCTACTCCAATATCAACATTCACTCGCGCTAATTCGATAATATCAAAGAGCAGAGGAGCTCTAGGAGGCATTAAAGCATCTTCAAGTGCAGCATTTGGAGCTGGAAGTAGCAGTGCTGATAAGAACAAGCTATTCCTCTTCATGCCCAGCTTTTTGCAGAGAGCAACCTCTTGTTGGCCATGAACAAAAGGGAAAGACGAATCCCTGTAGGCTCCGAGGCAAATTCCCTGAACCGGAGCAACCTGATTGCAAGAGACTCTGTTAAATAACCTCCATCCCCACATTTGTATGGTATTTTCCATATATACCAGAAAAAAAAAAGTGATTACTTCAAAAAGAGGCTATATAGCTTTAGACAAAGACTCTCGAGATCATTATTTGTTTGTAACAAGAAGAGAGATGCAGGCAGGTAAATTTTCCAGGTGCTGAATCTGAACACTCGTTACTGTAACACCTAAACTATTGAGAAAACTTCCTTACCTGCCTGAAAGCTTCAGCTGGAATACCAAAAATAAAATGGGAAGCAGCACTGGGGACCCAGTTACTATTTTATTCCCTGCATGGTAGTTGCTGGTGACATTTTGTGACTTTATTCCCAAATGAGAATGGTAGGTTATTTTTATTCATTGCACATTCAGAAGATTCTGAAACTTCTAAACACTAAAATAAAGCTACTGATTCTGTTAGCAGCCTCTACCACTGAATTTGGTTTGGCTACTATAATATGTCACGTTGATTCTCAAAAATTTCTTACCTGGAATATCTGCAACAATATTCCCCATTCCTACAATATTTCTGACTTCTTGGAATGGGGGAAATGTGCTGGGTGATCTTTGCCAGAAGACTCGTATCTTGTATCTTTCTTCTGTGAGACAAGATTCTTCCATCTTGAACTTACTTTCATGATTAAAAGGATACATAAATTTCAAGATGAATTTCTCTCCACCACAGGTACAATTGTAACTGAAACTTTTCTCTTTTTAATCAGAAAAGCAGTAGAGGAGACTGATAACAACAAGTAAAAAAAACTTATCAAGAGGCTAATAATAAAAGATATATATAAAAAAGCAACCAATATATCCCAACCTATCTAACAGAACTATGGCTTAATCTGGGCACCCTGGCCAAAGAAGTCGGAATTAAAGATGCTGTCCAAACCAACTCCCATATTCTCATATTCTTGGGAAAAACCTGTAATGACTTCACTAGAAGCAGGTTCAAGCAGTGCCTGGGGCTCCAGTTTCCCCTCTGGACAAGTCCATCTTGGCACCATAATGCAGATTTAACAGTCCAGAATGCAAAGACTTTTTTTTTTTTTTTTTTTTTTTGCACCAGAAACTGCACAGATCCACGGTGAGAAGAACTTCAAACACATTTCTCCCCCTCCTCACCTCACAGAAAGACACAGGACTGAAAACAAGCAGATTCACATCTACGGTTACTGTGAAAAATGTTTATTTGTGAAATACATCTTCTATCGTTCTCAAGTTAAAAAAAAAATAATAATAACCCCACAAAGAAGCAGGTCATTTTAAACTCAGCATGCACCCCCAGCTACACGTAGCTTCCTGTCTACCTATAAGTCACCTTCCTGCAATCTAACACTTTATCCACTCCGGCACACAGTAGCTATTGTTTTTAAGGAAAAAAAAAATTCTAGTTAGAAACACTTTGGAGAAGAGTGATATTGTCCCCTTTTAGCATGATCCGACCTGCAACACAGAAAAAGGAAAAGGGGCATTAGAAAGATACCAGGGTCTGGGGATAAGCTCATGTTTTCAAATAACATTCCACAAAGATGTTTGCAAGATGCCACGTGGTAAATGGTGTGGGATTTTTTAGACCATAGCCAGGAAAGTCTCTTCCCTATTGGACACAGGGCAGGATTACCAGCCTGGCAGGACACATCCCACACAGACAGTTGACATTGTAGTGTATCACACATGGGGAAAGGTCAATTAACCACATTTCAGACCATTTATCATTTAGATTACACCCACATACCCAGCTGTTTCCTTGATTTTGTTTTGGAGTGAATCTCCTCTGCGTCGTCCAGGACCAAGTTCATATATTCATCAAAGCCCTAAAAAACAAAACAAACAAAAAGCAGTTGGTGAACAAAGTTCCCTGCTCTCAACTTCAGCAAGAGTGATATTAATTATTGTTAAATACGGTGATGCAGGCTGGATAATTAGGGATTCATGACAGAGAAAAGAAGTGCATTTTTACTCTGTGCTTTTTTATTTTTAAGTCTGCTGTTCTTTTTTGACAGAATTTGTTCTCTGTGCTTGTTTATCCACGTTCACAATAAAGGCTCCTCCTGGTACTCACAATGATGCAGCCTTCTATCCGCATGTTCACTTGCTCGTAGAGCCACACCTGGATCCTGGATCTCTGGAAGCGATGGGGAGCAAAATATGAACATAAACATCCTGAGCAACTTTGCTCCTCTCTGCTGTGCACTAAGAACTGAGCTGCACCCTCAATACCAACAGCCACTGGGGCTCTGTAATTTTTAAAGGACAAATTCTCAAGTTTGGTTTCAATCCTGCCCTCAGAAAGGTGTTTTTTTCCCCATTTGAGGCACTCGTGCTGCACGGGTACTCGGGTGTGTTTTAGCACCGACACAGAGGGCAGCCCCACGCGTGCGAAGCCGACACCAGACCCGTTGTGGGGATAATCGGAAACGTGGGAGAGAAGCCCTGAGCCCAGAACCAGCTGCTCCGGACTGGGATTGCGGGAAACTCGCAGCTAACGAAGATCAGCTTTAAAAGCCAGCGTGGAAATGAGAGGGCTCCCCGTGCAGGATCCTCCACGTGGGGCAGGGGTCCCTTTGCCCTCCCTGGGGCCCTCACCCTCCCCAGGGTCCCTTCATCCTTCCCTCGTCCGCCTGGTATCCCCAGGGTCCCCTGATCATCTCCAGGCCTCCCTCACCCTCCCCAGGACCCCTTTGCTTTCCCGGGGGGGTCTATCCGCCCTTCCTGGCTCCCCTTGTCCCCTCCAGGGTCCCCTCCCCGAGGTCCCTTCGTTTTTCCCTTTACCCTCCTGGAGCCCCTTCGCCCACCCCCACGGGGTCCCTTCGCTCTCCCCGGGCTCCCCTCGTCCTTTCCAGGCCCCCCTCGCCCTCTCGGGGGTCCCTTCGCTCTTCCCAGGCCCCCCTCGCCCCCCTGGGGCCTCCTCGCC